TCTTGACATTCCTGCAATATCAAAACATCCAGTCACACCCAATGCCAATACCCATGGACGCAAAAGGCACCACCTGAAATGGTTTTAAATGGTAAAGACACCACTCCTCTGTTATCTTCCCGTTTCCAGTAACTCTGCAATGCAAGGTTAGCATGCTGAGATTAAAGAAAGCCACGCAGAATTCACCCTGGCCTGCAAACAGGAGAGATGACTGCCAAAAATCCATCCCCAAAGACCGACTGAAACAAGAACTCAAAGATTCGAAAGAACCTTCAACATGGGTAATGGGGCGGGGGGGGGGGGGGGGTAACCAGCCTGAATCCAGAGTCCTCATCACCTTTCTAAAGGAAACAAGTTCTTAAGCCAATTCGGCATATGGCTGTGTCTGAAGAATGACTTGAATTAGGAAGGTAGCATAGAGATGGAATCTACAAATCTTTCCCTACTCTAACTCCTCTCCCACCACACACACACACACACACACCAGAAAAACACTGTAAATCAGAAAAAGTGTATTTAAAGGGTTTTGATGCAAAGAACTGAAATCACAGCATCCTCTCAGGAGAGAAACAAAGCGGCCAGAATCTGCTCCCATCAAGCCAACTCGGGGAACGCAGGCTGGCCGAGCACCTGCACCGGGCCACAGTGGGTCACCCTGGTTGATTTCCACTGCAGTCCTGTAAGGGAGGCATCACTACCCCATTTCCCAGGTCGGGGACTAAGACTGAGGCTTGGTCACTGTTTACAAAGTCACTGGAAAACCCTCCAAAGCCACTTCTTCCTTCAAAATCTCTCTCTTTTTTATGGTTGTCCTCACTAGCACCTTGAAAGTTTGATGACAGAAGCCTAATGCCCATGCTGCAGATGAAACTGAGAAAGGCAATTTAAAACGTCATCTTGTCCTAACTGCCACTTTCATTTCAAAGAAGCCCTCATAAACTGGGACCTCCGAGCTCTGGCACAACTTCAGCACCCGCGAGCCTCCAGGGCCCTGCTGCTCTCCCCCATCCACCTCACTCAACTCTGTCTCTCTGTCGTGAAGAAGTCGAACAGCACAGCTGAATCCCCTGCAAAGCATCGGGATACGAACTTGGAAGGGCCGCTGGCATCAGAAGTGTCCTTCACAGCGGATTTCCTTCCAAGTTCATTCTTCCTTAGAATGAAATACGGTTCCAAGAATTCCCCTGATACTCAGATCACATGGAGATGATAAAAGCCAAACCTTATTCATTAGGAGCTTCTGGAAAAGGCGCAACTCTCTACCAACATCCCTTAAGCCAAGGAAATGCACCTTGCCAGAAAAGTCCGAGTATAAGCAAAACACAATCAAAACCAAAAAGCCAGGAATCAGCACATCTCTATGCGAAACCTGCTTATGTCTCACTAAGGGTGAAATTCTGCATGAAGACTTTATCTTCTATTTGCTTGTGGGACCTGGCACAGGTCATCCATCTATTGGGAATATGCCTCCACTAAACTCAGATCCAGGGTCGCTTCCTCACTACAGCCCCCTACACAGGTAGGGTTAGTATAAAGCTCCCCAAGCCAGGAAACCACTACACTCGCAGTGAAAACTACTCAAGGTGCCTACTAACGCAGGAAAGCCATGGAGGGCCAGAGTGTGTTTTCACACCGGCTGTCCCCGGACTGACAGACAGAAAGTGACATGGACGGTCTCCTGGGTAAGTCTTCACTGTGTTTCCATGCGAATTATTTATATATACATAAACAGTCCACAAATAAGGTTCTTTTAAGCAAAAGGCTGCAGATAACACAGTAAAGTATGAGTAGTGGCAAGTTCTAGCTAGTGGGGTTATAAATAGTTTTACCTATTTACTTTGTTTTCCAAATGTTCTTTTATAGGCGCGCGAGACCTAATTTGAAATAAATTTTTTCAGACTTACAAACAAATAAACCAATGAATCAATGGAGGAATGCAGCACCACAAACAGGGCCTCGCCTTACTTGTCCTGATGTCCTCCCCAGCCTTGCGCCTGGCTCAGTGCCCTGCACAAAGAATGTGTTCAGTGCATCTGTGCAATCAGCGTTGAGTTGTCAAACTCCTGCACTTAAGAAGCCTTTCAACAGCGGCAAGCACTGGGACCAGTGGTTAAGGCACAGTGCGGGATGCCCACATCGCGTATCAGGGGCCCTGGGCTGGAGTCTCAGCTCACTCCCGATTCCAGCTTCCTGCCAATGCGGACCCTGGGAGGCAGCAGGTGATGGCTCAAGCAACTGGGTCCCTGCTATATATGGAAGAACTGGACGGAACTCCTGGCTTCCAGCTTCCTCCTGACCCATCCCTGACCATTGTAGGCATTTAGGGAATGAGCCAATGGTTGGAGGGGGGGGGGAGCTCTCTCTCCTTCTCACAAATAATTTTTTTTTAAAGAAGCTATTTACAGGGCTGGCACTGTGGCGTAGCATGTAAATACGATGCCTGCTGTGCTGGCATCCCATGTGTGTGCGGGTTCAAGTCCTGGCTGCTCCACTTCTGATCCAGCTCTCTGCTGTGGCCTGGGAAAACAATAAAAGATGGCCCAAGTCCTTGGGCCCCTGCACCCATGTAGGAGACCCAGAAGAAGCTCCTGGCTCCTGGCTTCAGATCAGCACAGTTCTAGCAGTTGTGGCCAACTGGGGAGTGAACCAGCAGAGGGAAGACCTCTCTCTTTCTGCCTTTCTTCTCTCTGTGTAACTCTGACTTCCAAATAAATCTTTAAAAAAGGAAGCTATTTACTCAACAAAACCAGATGTTGCTTGGCCAAAAAGCTGAAAAGTAAAAAGTAATAAATTCAAAAATTTCTATTTCCAGATCTTTGCTTAATACAGATTTTAGGAAATAATCCTCTTACCCTAGGAAAACGGACTAAGAATAGTCAGCACTGGGAGCAGGTGCTTGGCACAGTGGTAAGAAACCTTTTGGGATGGCTGCATCCTTTACTGGAGGGCTAGGCTTTGAGTTCTGGCTCCATTCCTGACTCTGGCTTCCCACTAACATGTACCCTGAGAGGCAACAGGTGATGGCTCTAACACAAGAGTCCCTGCCACCCATGTGGGAGACTGAGGGGGTCTCCAGCTACTGAGGGCACACAGATGTGAAATCTCTCTCTCTCTCTGTCTCTCTCCCTCCCTCCCTCTCTCTTCATTCTTTTCCCTCTCTCCCCCCCTCTCCATCTCCCTCCTTCTCCTTCTCTCCTCCCTCTACCTCTCTCTGCCTTTCAATTAAATAAAGTATATAAAGAAAAAGTGTTTAAAGAAGAATGGTCATCACTTTGAGCTAGTCAGTGACAGCAGATAAGCTGCTTAACCTGTTAAGGGGATACGTGCTATCTTTCCACAGCATAGCAACTTGTTAAGGGGTACGTGCTATCTTTCCACGCTGAGAAACTGAAGTAGAATGATTTCGGCCCTAGGGGGATATTGGAAAGATGTTAGAGGATACAAAATTTCATTTAGACATAAGAAGGTCAAGAGATCTAGCTGGAGCTAACAATGCACTGGATACTTGAAAACTATTCTGTGTGAGTGGATGGGGGGTGGGGTTAGCCTAGCAGTTAAGATGCCCACATCTTGTAGCAGAGTCCCTAGATGCTACCTGTCTCCAATTCCTGACTCCAGTTTCCTGCTGATGCAGACCCTGGGAGCAGCATTAAGGCTCATAAAAGTAGCCTGTTACCTATGTGAGAGACCTGGATTTTGTTCCTGGATCCTAGCTTTAGCTTGGCCCAAATAACAGCTAGACCTCATTCTCATATTTCTTTCTCTTTCTCTCTCTTCCTCCCTCCCTCAAATATTAATAAAAATTTGTTTAAAAAGTTAATTTTAAGTATTCTCACCACAAGGAGGTGCTAAGTGGTACAGTATTGGTTAATTAGCTTGATTTCACCATTCTGCAATGTATACACACTATACACACACCAAAACACCCTGTTGTATACCATAAATGTCCACAATTTTTTCATTTCTCAGGCTAGAGTTTCACTCCTTGAACTATGACAGATGAGACTAAAGTCCAGGTTCCAAGAAGGAAGCCTTTACCCACTCCAGGAACAGGGCTGCCATTCACCCAGACACCTTGGCCCCACCTCATGTCCATCTGGAGTCTCCAAATGCTGCTGCCAAGCCTACACACTGGGAACCTGATTGCTTCATTTTCTCCAAGTACAAACCATAAAACACACGTAGGACAGCTCCTGTACACCACGGGGCATGGAAACCGATACCTGGAGGGCTACCTGGCCAAAGCCATCAAGAACCTCATAAGAAACACATCCCCTCTGGCCTGCCCACTGCACCTCCAGGAATATCAACTAAACACATGTGCAAAAGCTTAACTTTTTAGAAAGGTGATTCATGGCATCATTTGTAAGGATGAAAAAAAAATGGGTAGAACCTTAATTACCACGGAGGACACTGACTCTAAGCCCACGGGATGGAATCCTACCGGCTCACCATATATGATGTTGCAGAAACACATTTATCGACACTGAAACCTACTCACAGTGAAAAACAACCAGTTACAAAACAGCATGAACTCATCATTGGCAACCGATAGCATTAGAGATATGCCTCAGAGAAAGGGCTGGAAACTCTGCGCGTAGAACTGCTTAACAGGGGTAGAAAAACGCGTGGCTGTTCTTTTCTAAGTTCTTCGTACTTTCTGATTTTCCCTGCAGTGAACATTTCATTAGAAATCCCTACATGCGGGAAATCCTGGAAATAAGCAACCAAACAGTGCATCAGCATCCGCCCTCCGGCCCTTGCCCTCTCCTGCCCCAGCTGCCAAGCAGTCTTCCCGGGTGAGTGACTCCTGGGCAGGGCCTTGGTTCCTTTCTTCACTTCCCAGCCACTCTGGCCCCACGAGCACCAGAAGAGCAGTCAGGACCGGCGCACGTGCGCATTCAGGCAACTCCGAGCCAAGCAAGCCCTGGCTTCCGGCCCACGATTCAGCCAGCCCCAGGGCGACTCAGGGGTCAGCACCCCGGGTCACCGCCACTCACCTCCTCCGAGGGCGCTGCCCCGCGTCGGACCTCCTCATAGGCGCCCACCTGGTCCCAGGTGGCCACGAAGGCGTGCGTGGGGCTGAAGGGAGCCGCGGCGCGCGGGAAGCCTGCACTCACGTAGCGGGCGGCCAGGCCCAGCACCGCCGGGGAGGAGTCCTGGCGGTACAGGACGCGGCCCCTGCCGCCGCTCGTGTCGATGTCGGCCAGGAAGGGGGCGATGGCCGGGAAGTCTGTGGGCAGGTCGTCGTCCACGTACTGCGTCTCCCTGGGGAAGTCCTGGGTGGAGATGATGCCGTTGGTGCCCACCTGGGAGAGGAGAGGGGCGAGCGGTGAAGGTGGTCCCAAACCGCGGCGACTCCCCGGGGAGAACGTCCGCAGGTCCCAAGAGGGAGCCCTCAGCCCCGCAGGCGCGCACAGGCTCCTGGCGGGGCGCGCCGCAGACCCCGCCCCGGGCGGCCCCAGCTTCCTCCCGGACCCTAGTGGGCTGGCCGAGGGTCCTCGCTGCCCATGGCAGCGGGTCCGGCCGCCGCGTCGCGCCGCGGGAGCCAGAGGGGACCCGTTTCCCCACTTCTCAAGCCAGGGGTTCCACGAGACCCCGCACGCCGCACGCACACCGCGGCGGGACTCACGTAGAGGTTGCGGAACTGGGCGTCGTAGAAGCGCAGCGGGACGGCCAGCTGCACGGCGGCCGAGCTCTCGTCGTCGCCCTCCCGCAGCCGCTGGTCTCCGTGCGTCTCCCCGTAGGGGAAGAGCTCGTCCGGGTGCAGCGCCGCGGCCCGCGACAGCAGCAGTAGCAGCAGCAGCAAGAGCGGCGGCGCCCGTCCGGCCGCACGGTGGTCCAGCATGCTCGCTCGGCCCGGGGCAGCCCAGCCGCTCTGCGCGTCCCGCCGCTCTGCGCGTCCCGCCGGTCCGCAGCGCGCCCAGACCCTGGCTGTCGGCGGGCGGCCGCGCAGCGGCGACTCGGACCCCGCCCAGCGCGCGGATTGGCTGAGGCCCTGGGCCAGGGACCAATCCCCAGCGCGGAGAAAAGTCTGGCCGCGGCCCCCGCATCTGGTTCTCGTTAAAGACAGCGGTCCCGGGAGCTGCGGGCCGGGCTGGGGGAAGCCGCTGCTGGGCGGGGCTGCGCGCTCCCCTCGTCCTCTGCTGCCCCGGCCGCTCTCCCGTCGGGGGACCCAGGGGCCGTCCAGGTCCAAGGGCGGCGGCGCGGCAGGAGGGGACCTCTGCGTGCCCAGTCCCAAGCCCCGGGGGGCAGCCGCGGGGTGCGGGGGCGCTGCCGTCCGAGGGTCCGCGCCATCGGGGCCAGATGCGCAGGGGGCATTTAGGCAGCCTTCTCGGGCGCGTCACTGCCCACAGAGGTTGGGGGGACTCCCGAGTTCTGTCTGCCCCGGGGGCCCGAGCCACCCACCCTTTGAAATACCCACGGGCGGCTTAACCTCCCAGGGGATAGTCTGGGAGACGCGACCTGGGGGGTCCGCACCGTCTGGGGCGCAGGCGGGCCCCCTTGCCACCTCCGGCGCCTTCCCTGGAGGAGACAGCCCGCGGGCCTGGCCCCGGGGCAGATTCTATTTATTCCGGAGGACTTGCACTTTCCCGGAATCTGTTTTCTCTCTCAGCCCCTCTGTGGGGTCCTTAACTGAGCTACCTAAAAAGAAATGCAAGAAAAAGCTAAGCCTTGGAGCTGCCCCTGAGGGACTCTGGAGAGATGGATTGCTGGGTGTTCATTCCGACCAGGCAGGTCCGAACGAGCTCGCGGGAGACGGCCAGCTGTGAGGCTGCACGAACACAAAACGGAAAATTGGCCCAAAGCAGTTTGTTTTCTCCAACTTGTAAAACCTTATCTACGCTCCCACGTATATGGTGTTTTTCAAGGGTCAGGTGTTTTCAGTTGACTGAGAAAACGTAGGTGACTTAACTTGCTCAAAGCCATCTAAATTTACTCCCTTGATTTAAAATTCTCCACGGGTCCCCTATGGTTTTTCCCAATCTGTCAATTCCACGTAGTAATAACAACTAATATTCCCTTATTGGCTCTCAGCGACAAGCTGGTGAGACTGGTGGCTAAGGATCCCCAGTGCCTGGTGTCACCCCCTCGCATAACTCCTGGCCCAGGGATGGGGACTGGCCTTGGGATTCCTCCCTCCCTTTCTTCCTTTATTTGTTAGAGAGTCAGAGGGACAGAGAGAGAGCCAGATGAAGACAGAGTTCCCATGTGCTGATTCACTCCCCTGAAAACCTGCAACAGCCAAGCTGGGGACAGACTGAAGCTGAGAGCCTGGAATTCAATCCAGTTCCCCCAACAACTCGAGCCATGGCCACCTGCTGCCCCCCCCCCCCCCCCGCCGCCCTGGTGTGTATCAATGGGAAGCTGAAAGCAGGAGTGGGTCTGGTATTGAGGTCAGGCCCTCCAATATGCCATATGGGCATGCCAGTGTTAGGCCACATGTCCACCCCCTGGCCTTCTGACCAATAGAATGTTTAAAAAAAAAAAAAAGTCAAGATTGTGATTTCCGTTTTGCTAGATTATCTCAGTGACTGATGGTCCCAACTGTTACACTGGGGAGTCTCCCATAGTAAGAAACTGAGGGCAACCCCGGGCCAACAACCAGCAAGGACATGAATTCCACCCACAGCCATGCTACCTGAGCTTGGAAGTGGATCCTTCCCCGATATGGGTCTTGAGATGACAACTCAGCCCAGACGACCCTTGGACTGCAGTCCTGTGAGAGGCCCTAAGGCAGAGGACCCCATTAAGCCAGAGCCCAGATACCAGACCCCCCAAAAACTGAGAACTAATAAACACACGTTGCTTTAAGCCATTATATTTGGGGATAATTTATCATGCAGCCACAGATAAATGATACAAGTTGGACACTGTGTTGAGGAAATTAAGTCTTAAAAATACTTTCCATTGATACTGACCCAAGGTCCTTTGGCTCCTTTGCAATAGAAATGGACAAGAGGCCAGGATGCCACCCTCACAAGGTTGACTGGGGCTCATGCTTGGTGCACAAGGGAGACAGCACAGGGGAAGAGGTTCTTGGATGAAGGAAACACCTGTGGGAAGGTGTGGCCACATCTTCTCTGTCTCTGGTTCCCCAACTGCATAAAGCAGGGCACTTTGGTGTGCACCCGGCTCAGTATTCAGGGCATCCCCAGTGCTTTATTTTGCACAGGACACACTCAAAATTGCAGTGTTGCTCTCTACTGTCTCTGCAGGAAGTGAGCAAGTGAGGGTTGGGAAGTCTGATTTGGCAGCAGGGGGTCTGGATGCTCCTTGCTCCTGATTGGTTTAGAACTGGAACTGGGTACGAATCAGATTAGGAGGGGTTCCTACATTCATCCTCTCTCATTATCCCGTGGCTGTTAAGTACCAGAGCTGAGATTTAAACTCAGTTCTGTCTGATCTCTAACCTACTCTGAACCGCGGAATCATACCAGTACCAACTGCCACAGTGCGCTTTGCAAAGTGCTTCTAACTTAGGTCACTAACTTCATCTCCTGCCACACCACCTTTCTGCTGACATTTCAATTCTCAGATGCAACATCCATTTCTATGATTTAGTGCATCCTCACGTGCTAGGGCATTAACGACCTTGCAACTTCCCAGGCAGCCTCAAACCAACAGCAACTCTCCTTTCAAGGCTTGAATGGGGGCTGGTGCTGTGGCGCAGTAGGTTAATCCTCCAGCTGCGGTGTCAGCATCCCATGTGGGCACCGGTTCTAGTCCTGGCTGCCCCTCTTCCAATCCAGTTCTCTGCTATGGCCTGGGAAGGCAGTAGAAGATGGCCCAAGACCTTGGGTCCCTGCACCCGCATGGGAGACCCAGAAGAAGCTCCTGGCTCCTGGCTTCGGATCGGCACAGCTCCAGCCATTGCAGCCATTTGGGGAGTGAACCAGCGGACGGAGGACCTTTCTCTCTGTCTCTCCTTTTCACTGTAAGTAGCTCTAACTTTCAAATAAATAAATCTTTGGAAAAAAAAAAAGAAAAGAAAAAAGGCTTGAATGAAAGCTCTCCTGGAAACCACAATAGAGCTGGAAGCGTCTTCTGTGTGCCCTGTGGGTGCCACGAGCCTATCTCCCGTCGCATATTTTTCATAACCCTGACTTCCACATGTCCGCCTCACCACCTCTGTCACACCTTCAAAGCAGGGATTTCATCTGACTCAGTGCCTGCCACAATGCCTGCCTGACTCATTAGGAAAAGTTTAAGAAGTGTGTGTTGCAGGCCAGCCTGGAGACGATGACTTCTATTTGCTGGCCCTGAAAGCAACATTCTTTCCCCTACATCACCTTTCCTGCCACCCTGACCTGACTCTGCAATCTGCTTTCCAGGCTGCCTAGCAACTCACCTACCACTGCTCTCCAGTTTTTGTCACTCACTCATTCAACAACTATTTCCTGCAAACTGACCCTGACAAACCCAACTCTGTAAGAAATAAAGGAGTACAAGATGTGGCCGCTGACCCTAGAAGCTCACAGTCTGTGTGGGAAAACAAGGCATCAAACTTTGATAAGAAATAAGGGATGCTATCATGTAGTGTGAATTGAACAGCAAAATGGGCCAAGGGGACCCTGGAACCAAGAGGTTGTCACTAGTTTTGAATGTGCTACTGAGTACAAAGCAGTAAATCCAATAGACAAGAGGCCAAAGTGAACGGTCTTGCTTCTCTGTCCCCTTAAATTGGCTGAAGTCTCCTTCCAACGTGAGGCTCTGGACAGCTGTGTTACTTAAGCAGACGCTCATTTGAGCATTTATTATAATTTTTTATAATTATAATATTTTTTAAAGACTTTTTGGCACCACAGAGTAGTTTCTGCTTTAGAATGTCACTTAGTTCCTCGGGGAAAAGAAAGAAAAATCTGTCATAGCCATTTCACCCATGCAGGTGAATACTGAATTAGTACTTCTCTTGTATCCACATCTCCCTTTCCAAGGTAGAATTTCCATGACCTGCCAGACTGGCAGGTAGGCAGGGGCTCCTTTCAGGCTGGGGCTTAAAGAGAATTTCTGTGGTAGACGTTTCTAGTCGCCCTGGATTGGGTCCTCACAGTGGACTGAGCACTGCTTGAGAAGTAATGTTATTTACATGCAGGACTTCATCCCAAGCCAGGATGGCACCAGAGGCTTTGCCAATAGACCTCCCCAAAGTCTCCACAATGTGTGTGTGTGTGTGTATTTATATTTCAGTTATAAATACCATGACTTCAAGAATGATGACACCTCCTTTGAATTTAACCAAGAGAATGAAAACACATTTGTTCCCCAGGGTGGCAAATAGAGGTTGGCATTCAAGAGCAAGTTCTATGTATAGCGCTGACGGCTCCCTGTGCATGTTGGTATTAGAGGTGGCCTTGGCACAGACTGCCCCTGTTCTTGTTGCACATGGTGATTCTTTGCATAACTTTACTAGCCATCAAATTCCAGTGTGGGCGGGCTCACGTGTGGAAAAATAGACAAGCAAATTAGCACGTCTTCACAGACTCAGGTTTAATGGCAATTGTGCTATGCTCAAGAAAAATCTTCGAGTGAGGAAGTGTCTGAATTAAAACATTCACTGTGGGAAGACTCTGGGACTTTGAGTCTTTTGGTATAAATCACGGCACATGCGATTTTTTTTCCATGACATTTTTAAGCATAGAGACAGCTGGGGTGGCAGACAGTATTGGATGCTTTCCCGACAGCCATCTGCTTTTGTTCCTTGGTCTCAGGGATCCCATATTGTCAGGTAATGGGTGCAGTAATCCCGGGAATGAGTAAGCTCTCGGGCCTGGCAATGAGCTACACTTGGCTGAAGATGATCATGATTGCAGGTGGCTCTGTTTATCCCTGGTGGATATGTTCGAAGATATTCATTGGATGCCTGAAACCACGGCTAGTACCAAACCATATACATAGGAATCTGCAAAGACATGCTAATATATATATATATATATATATATACACACACACACACATATATATATACACTATGTTTTTCCCTGTACACATATACCTATA